ACGAGCGTGGGACAAAGAAAAATTTTGAGCCCCCAAAGGAATCGAAGCCACAGAGACTATTGTGAGCAAGGCCCATTACGAAGCAGACGTTCTGCATACTGATACGCATCCTGCATACTGCTCGGATTGGCAATGTAAAAAGTCTCATTTTTGTACAGAGTCAGAAAGATCGTGGTAAGTGTTAGGTCGGTAAAGAAATAAAGAAAGATGTGCTTATCTTTCTATATTTGTTTACCGACCTCAAAACTTATCATCTTTCTTATTCTTTACAACAAATATGTGATTAAAGGAACGGAAGAAAGAAATATACCGTCTAACACCGATTGACTAAATGGTTGTGTCAACGAGGGAATGAATGAACCGACAAATGCACAAATAAATGGACGAATGGATGAATGAGTGAATGGAGAAGGGGATAGATAGCTGCGCGAAAAATCAATACAATGGTCATCTTCTGAACTTGATCGGTGTTTAAAAAAAGTACCAGTATATGTAGTTGAATCAGACAACTTTCGTTTATAAAACATCTTTATTGAAGATTTTGTGATTCTACCAGAAGCTTTGTATCTTATAAATACTCACCTCGCAATATGCATCTACATCTCTGTCGCTAGTTTTCTGATCTTCCTTCCTATCGTCCTCAAACATCTTTTCATAACTCTCAAGGTCATCGGCGTATGGACATGGATGTTTTCGAATTATGTGATGAAGCGAAACGTTTTTCAGCCTCTCAGGTATTCCGGTCCCATCGGCGCTGGATTGTTTCAGTGGCTGGCGTTTGTTAGGGATTGGAAACTCTGCCTGTTCTTTCCGATCACTGTAGATGCGGATGATCTTGAGGCCAGGAACTTTTATCATGTATTCTTTATAGAAAGCAAACGAGTTAGCTGATCCTTAAGATTGATGATTTTTTTTATTTTTCATTGGAGTTTTATGGATTGGAATATTTAATCTTCGATGCATGATACACCTGTCCATGCGATCTAGTACTTCAAATTTATCTGAACCACACCACAAAACGTCTGTTTACTCTCATTAAGAATGTATTTAATAGTATTTTCACTCCAATTTCCTATAAGCCGCCATTTTCGATTGTAGCAAATCGAAATGGCGAATTTTTCTATTCTTAAACTTACCGGCCACAACGTCTACTGCTTTGTTGGAAGGACCGCAGTAAATAACTTGCGATGGTGCCTTCACTTCGTCTAGACTTCCCGGAAGGTTTTGTTTGTTTCGTTTCGCAAAACCGAAGGCGATGTGGACACCTGTCACTGTCTTACCCGTACCTTCAAAATGACATAGATGCATTGTTCTTAACAATGACCAAAGTTCCAAAGTTCTCCAAAAATGGGGAAAGGAGTGTGAGCACAAGCGTCAAGAGGCACAAAGTTAGTTTTTAGCTTCTTTTATATGAAAGAAATACCTGGAGGACCCTGAATGAGGGTAAACGGCTTCTCAAGAGCTCTTTTTACAGCTGTTTGCTGATATAGATTCAGAGGCTTGAATCTGCACTTGGGATGGTCTCGCACAATTGACATATCAAGTAAAGGTAGTGGCTCAAACCGCCCTAATTAGTTAGAAAAACAGAGATCCTTTTCAATTTTCTCCTGCAAGCACTTTATAATCCTTTGATCCACCTAAACGACCGAACGATATATCCATAACTTAGTTTGTGCCTTGAAAAACGTCCCCTGATGTTTGCTTGTTGAACTTATTACCCCAAAATGATAAATAATTATAGTTCAGGACATTTTTAGTAGGCTTTGGAGCTATTTCCTCGAGGATAGGCCATGGAATCAAATCTACAAAGATTTGTATTTGTGCCTTGCCTTGAGTTGAAAATTTTCCGCTTTTTGCGAGGCACTCGTTCCCTTCCACTTTCCCCTCGATTTTGTCTTTCTGTATCCTATACCCTAATTTGGGATAAGTACCACAGGTGCCAAGAAAAGGTGACCCACTAGGTTGCACATAAAAGGGTTCAACCTCCCTCCCCTATTTCAGTGTAATTCACCAATGAATTTTTTTTTTTTTGCATGTTTGTTTTGTGAAAAAGTTAACAGTGCAAGTACACAAAGCTTACTCTAAACTCAGTGACTACTAACCTTGACCGCGCTCTTTTCCCAAACAAATGGCGTGAGCCAGTTTGGATGCTCCTCTCAGCTCTTTCAGAGCTGAAAACATTCGTCTAAAGTAAAGAAGGTAAATATAGTTTTGCTCATGCGTTATCCTGAACCTTCGCACAAGTATGCAATTGAGCAGACTTAAAAAAAAACATCGATTCATTTTTATCACCAAGGCAGAATAATTTACGTTTCCGGCAGATTAAAAATTCTGGGTATATGAAAGAACGCTAAAGGGCAGCATTGTCCAAATGTTTAGAGAACCTTACAATCATATATTATAATATTAGCATAAAATATATAAAATCATAGCAAGGTGTTACTGTGGACCGAACATTATCGAAGTGTAATGTAAGCCAAAGATGAAGCATATCCGGGTATTTCGTAGCAAGAACGAACGAAATGAGAAACATGAGACCTACATCACGAGCCAACTAAGCCCAAGGGTTGTTATATCTAAATCCACGCGGTGAGGCGTATTGAAAGCAATTTTTCTATCACTTTGTTACCTTATCTGAACTAAGTTACCTGTTTGGAAGTGATCTGTGAATAATGGTTACTGTACTCAGTTGACCACCATTCAATAGTTCATCAGGAAACTTCGATGCTGACTGATGAAAGTCCATTTCAACAAACAACATAGTGTTCTCCTTGGAAAATTCGGCACGTCTAATGACGCAGTGTCCCACCCAGTGTCCCACCAATGGCGCTTCAGAGGTTTCTTCAGATAAATTGTTTTCCAAGGATGGCCATTCAGCTGCCACCGGGTTGCAAAGTTGTTCTTCAAGATTTCCACCCATCTGCTATGAAAGCAGGTAAAAATACATGTTAGGCATTTCAAACAACCAAAAAGCTGAGTTCACCTTTGAAATTGCACAAAGAGATTACTTTAAAAAAGTTGTCTTTCCATTCACGAAAGGAACTGACAGCAATGAATCAAAAATATTCTTCATTTCAAATCTATTATGATAAAACTATGATAAAACTTGTAAATTTTAGACGATTTTTCTAATGTCTGCAGTATAAGCAACTATTCGTTATTTCTGTTTGCCAAAGCACGTGCACGAGACTGTGAAGGACCATATGATACAAGCTGGCACTCATTCCACACGGCATGAGGGAGTAATGGATAGAACTCCTTCCTCAGGTTTCCTTTACATTGTGATATATCAAAAATATTCTACCATGAAAGAATAGCTTGTTATGTACTTTACAACTAAGGAAAATCGCCATAGGTTATGCTCATCAGATGTGCTTCCAAGAAGTGAGAGATGGCGGGTCTTCTTCTGGCTTTAAAAAAGATCCATACGGTTTCCAAACCGCATGTTATGCTGAATTATACTTTTTAAGTTTGAACGAAAGACGCGTTTTCGCCATTTGACATATTCCCTTTGTTCTACAATTTTCATACGTTAAACGAAAAAGCATATGGAAATGTGGCTGTTAAAAGAATCTTTCGGGGTCAAAGTATAAAAAAAGGCTTCTTGCTTAAGATGGATGTAATCAGAATTAACAGAATTAAAAGGCTTCTTCCTTAAGATGGATGTAATCAGAATTAACAGCTTGACCAAAAAATTGGGAGACATGCACTCTCTCCACTTAAAAGCCTTCTGTTGTTGATCATAGCATTAACCAACCACCATGTACATGTGAATAAAGGCTGATAGTTTCGAAAGAAACTGTTTGGGGCTGCGTCGGTGGGAGTAACGAAATAATTTGGATATATCAACAAAGTTGAAATGGTAAATTGGCCACCGTAATGATTACAAAAGCTGACGTTTCGAGCGTTAGCCCTTCGTCGGAGCGAATAGAGGAATTGTGGGTTGTGTGTGCTTTTAAAGGCAGAAAATGGAGCTACGTTATTGGTGGGTGCATGGCAACGAGAAAAACATGAATAAATTAGTGGAATGAAAAGCGTTCATTGATCCCTGTGGGATTTAGACTGCCGGTTTGAAAGATGAGCTTTTGTTCAAGATTTTTACGGCTTTCCGTGCCACCTAAGTGCAAGGAAAGACCGCAGATTGCCATATGTTGCTTAGAATGATT